TTTTTTTCTGGAACCGGGGATTGAACTCAGGCCCTTGTGCTTGCAAGCGAAGCGTTTATTCTACTGAGCCATCTCCCTGGCCCCAATCAAAGAATAATTTTAAGAAAGGTTCCTGGAAGAGAATAGATACTCAGTCTATTAATATGTTAAATTAAGATGGTCACCTGATTGGTGAATGTTCTTTATCCTAATTTTTCTATATTTTACATGGAAAAACTTTAAAGTTGATAGTAAAATGAGATTTTAGGATCATATTTTAAATAACAGTTAATTTCCATAAACAGAGCTGCTAAGTAACACTTAATTTACTTCAATCAAGTGAATTTAGATAGGAAATGTACCCTGTCCCTGGCACCCCTGGCAGTGGGTAACACCTAGTCTGACTTCATGGAGAAAGTGGCTTTCTAACATTAAGGTACATATGATGATCTTATCTAATACTTGCTCTGGAAGAGCTGAGTACATACTTTCTCCCCAAAGTCAGCAAGTAGGGGCCTGGGGTTGTAGCATAGCTAAGATTTTGGGTTCAGTCAGTCCCCACCAAAGCAAAAGCCAAGCAAGGACACCCCAGTGATATTTCTAGTAATAGCATCTAAGGAAAATTAAACTTTGGTATTTGTTCATTAAGCCCCAAGTGGTATCACATGCCTAACTAATCCCAAACTTGGGGAGGAGGAGGAGGCAGAAAGATGGAAAATTCAAGCTCAGCCTGGGCAATTTAGCAAAACTCTGTCTAAACAAACAAACAAACAAGACTCAGTGTGTAGCATAGTACCGAGCATCTAGTTCAGTCTTCAGTACGACCCCACTCTTGTTCATTCAGAATACTTAAAAATCTTTTCCATCTCTTAAATATATAGGATGCTTTTTGTAAATATTTCAAATTCATATCACACTGACTATCAAGTGTTAATTTCTTGAATATTTGTGCAAAAACTACAGGGTAAGTGTTCTATGATAGCTCTCATTCTTCTCACATCATTCATCAGTCAGAGGCTTTCCACGTTTCAAGCTGTTGTCCTCATCAGAGGCCAAAAATGGCATCTCATTATACTGTTTTAGCTACTACTTTATCATTTTTAACAGCAGCATATTTTTTGTACGACAGTAATATTTTTTATTTAAAGAAACTCCCTATTTGTGGTGATTTATGTTTCGTACAGGTTTGTGTTCTTTTTTCTTTCTTTCTTTCTTTTCTTTTTTTGTATTTTAGGGAAGGGTCTACAGGGTTTTCGGGGTCTCACTACTAGATCAGACTGGTAGTGATCCGCCTGTTTACAGCCTCCCAAGAGCTGGGATTACAGACGTGCACCACCACGCCCAGTCTCAGTTGCCCTCTCAGTGCGCCCCAGGGGGTAGGGGCTGGCATGACAGGCCTGGGGATGGAAACCCCAGCCCTTGCCCCTGCTTGCAGTTGCTTTAATCCACTGAGCTATTTGGCCAGCTCTATCTAGGTTTTTCTTCATGTAAACAATGTTGCAATAAACTTTTAACATACATTTTTATAAAATTAAATCCAATGTTTTGCTACAGGTGACTGGACAAGACTGCTTTAGAGAAATGCTGCCCTCGTATACTATACGATGTTATAAAGTCCAATACTGGGAGAGGCACAAAATCTTACTTCAGAGATTTTTTTTTTAAAAAAAGTCTAAATTCTTAGAATAAATTGCTGAAGCTATTTTAGTTTATATTTTACAGTTTTACATTTTATTAGCAATAAAGTCTTATTGCCTGCTTTTATCTATATCCATATCTTAATCTTAGAAAAAATATGCAAACACAAAAACCCAAGCTTACAAAACAAATAAGTTAGGGAGTAACTATTTGCATTACAAAATAATTATTTGCTTTTCAAAATGGCACCAATTTAAATTGAAAAACACATCGGGACGATATTTGAAATACAGCCAGATTTGCACAAGTTGAACTTAATTAAAACATGACTTTTCCAGAATATATCAATATATCAAGCACATATAGTGAGATATGTTCAGTTGGGCTTGATTTTACGAGTCTGAGGAAGTTAATTTAGTCTGTTTTTTTTTTTTTGTTTGTTTGTTTGTTTGTTTGTTTTTGAGAGGCATATTGTGCACTGCATAAGGAATTGTGAAGGATCCACACAATTGTAATTAGCCGATTTTTTTTTCCCTTCTAAAACTCTTGCTTTTCAAAGCTTATTATTAAAGTCCACTTCAAAAACAGAAGGAATATCCACTCCCCTTCCCGTGGTTTGCAGGCTTCGTGTGCATGTAGTGCATATGGCATATAGCAAGCAGTCCACCTCCCAGCAGCATATTTGCAGAACCAACAGTACATATTGAACCAAGCCACGCCCCGTGTAAGGGACTGTAATCGCCCTTTACTCCCCGGTGGAGGACGCCGTGCTAGGTGGGTGGGGGAGGAGGCCTGATTGTTGGTGAGATAGCTGAAGGGAATGGAAATGCAGCCTTCCTGGGGTGTGGGGGCTCTTAGTCATTGGCTCTAATTCCCTTGCCAGACACATGAAATGACGGTGCTGTAGGGCTTAGAAAATTGGGGCAACTTGGGGGCAGTGGGCGGCGGAGAATGTATTAATGACAGCCTGCCTGGGCCTCTGAGTGGCAGATAAAGCACGCAGACATGCACTCTCCGCGCTGAACCAGCCCAGTCCTGTCTAGCAGAATTTCTCAGTCTTTTGTCCCAGTCGCTCATCCTTTCTGAGCCCAATTCTAAATACACAGCGTGCCATTCTAAAATACTGCTCTTTGTCTCTAAGAGGTATCTGGCCCCTGGAGAAGCCTGAAGGGAGAGGCTGGCACCCGGCCAGGACATTCGGGAATCCCTGCCTGGGCCGCCCATAATTAGCATGCTGCCTTCGGAGCAGGGGGCTGGCCCGGGAGCAGGGAGGCGGCAGGCCAGGCCCCTCGGTGCTTCCCTTTTTCCTCTCTGCAGCCCTCGCCTGCCTGCAGGATCAGGTCCCCTACCCTCCTGGCTGTGCCCAGAGGCCTGTTTGGCACTTTCTGAGTTTATGGCCTCTGACTAGAAAAGGACCAAGCTATCATCTTTTATGAGGTCAGTGGGTAATTAAAGTAATGAAGTGGGAAAAGAAAAGGACTGGGCCAGGCAAGAAGAACTGGGTTTACTTTCAGCTGGACCAGTAGGTACTTAAATGCGTGACCTCGGGCTGGCCACTTGGTCCCTCTAGACCCAAGTTTTCTCAGCAGATGGTGATGGCTCAATAAAGTGATCTTGGGAGTAAATGCAAACGAAGTGACTAGTTTCAGGGAGGGACTGTGTGTGTGTGTGTGTGTGTGTGTGTGTATGCGTGTATGTGTGGAGTATGAAAACAAAATCCAAGGAAGAATGGGTTCAAGCAACCACAGCACTCAGGCCCCAAACTGAAAGTAAACAGCTAGAATGGGGGAGGTGCAGGGCAGAAAGCTCTTTGCTATTGACCCTCTATAGCAGATTAACCCAAAATTTAGAGACATAGAGAAAAAAAAAATGCTAATGATTGTATGCACAAAGAACTCAGGAAGGACTTGGCTACTGCGTGGTTACTGGGTTTCAAAGTTACAGGGAAATAAGGCGGGCGGTGTGTGTGTGGGGTGCTTGCCACCCTCCGAGGTCTCAGATGGCTGTGTCTGGGAGTCCCACTCCAGGGCTGCTTGCTTAGGGATGTGAGCAGAATGCCTGCCCACCAGGACTCTTGGGGACTGGGCACCTACAGAGTAGCTGGCCTTGCCCAGAGCAAGTGTCCTCAGAGAACCCCACAGAAGTGGCCTGGCCTTTACTGACCTGGCTTCAAGGTCTCACAGTGACACTTGTACCACTCTTTGTTGTCACCAGCCCAGTGAGGAGGAGGAGAAGGAGGAAAAGGAGGTGGAGGAGAAGGAGAAGGTGGCCCTTATCTTGATGGGATGATCTTGGAGAATGTTGGGGCCACAATTTAGAAGTGCCCCAGGCACCTTCTAAGAGCACTCTGGTTTCCTCAGTATCTTTGAAATAAATGTCTCGATAATGTATATAATTTAATCAGCTCCTGAGACAAGAGGCTCCCTGAATAATCTGGTCTGCCGAGTCCTTAGGAGGTAAGTGTACTTAGAGTCACTGCACTTTCAAGTAAATTATACGGCTCCACACTGGAGATAACTTTAACCTCTGCAGCTGTTTGAAATGAATCAAGTTAGCTACATAATTCCTTAGTGCAGGGAAAAGGTAAAGAGCTGTGGAACAATCAGATAACCAGACTACGATTTCCAGGCTGATGTGAAAGCTTCAGAAATAGGCTTCTGTTGCTGGGAAGTTGACGGTGCCTGTGAACACAGAGCTAGGCTACCGCGAGCTTTGAGGGAAAGGGATCCAGTGACCAGAGAAGAGACTCTCGTCCCCTGGAGAGCGGCGACAAAGGCGCCAAGGAGAGTGCCCCACCTGCTCCCGCTGCCTGGGTCCTATCTGCTCAGACCCCGTAGCTGAGGCCAGCACACTTCCTGTGCCCTTCTTTGGGTCTCATTTCAGTGATTATTTCTTCCCATCTTGTGCAGCAGCCGTCACATGGGTTTCAGTTCCTGGGGATTAAGCAGTTTCCGAAGGTTGTTATCACTCTTCAGTGGAGCAGATCTTCAAACACCTACCTGGATAATTGCTCTGGCCCAGTGATTGGGGAATCACCAGAGTGATTTTAAACACACACACACACACACACACACACACACACACCCCTCAAGTGAGTCTCTTTGTGTTTGTTTTGTTTCTGTATTTCCAAAGCCCAGTGGTTCGTGAGAGACAGTAGAAGGACAAAATAAGAAGACATATGGTACTGCTTAAATTATTCCCCAAAAGGGAAAGTATCCAATATTAAATTATTCCGTCTTTCTACTATTCTTAGGTAGGGAAGAGGCATCTCAACCAAGGAAATCATAGTGTACCCACAATGCCCAAAGGAGACTGAATTATATTATCAACATCCAAATACAGTCAGCAATATTTCACCAGAAAAGCTGCTTTGCAAAAATTAAACCTCTAATGTTTACACTGGGAAATACGGCATCCTTCCCTGCCATGTCCCCAGCCCTCCTCACCCCTCACACACATGGGCACACTGTCTTTCTCTGTCTCTCTTCCCAGAATCCTGTTCATCAGGCTCATTCAACCTCTTTTCTCTTAAACACATACACTGGCAATTCTACCCCAAGTTGCCTAGCATGCCTTCAAAAGGAAAATCTACATAAAGTAGGACTGCATTTTTTAAAAAAAAATTCTAGAAACCCATAGCTTCAACTGATACAGGCCATGGAAAATGGCAGCGTGAAAGAGATCAACCAGACAATTTCTGGAGATCTCTTTTCATCTAAACTGATAACTGGAGCAGCAAGGGAAGTCTGGAGCTCAACCTCCTCTTGTTTTCACTTGGTTCATGCAGCTCTGCTTTTCTCCACTCAACCCAGACCTAAGCTTGCTATGCAAAGGTGTCACGGGAAGAAGGAAATTGGGGGGAATATTTTTATTCATGGTAAATGCATTCACATAGTGTAAAATTATAAAAGTGTGTTCTGAGAAACTGACGCTCCTGTCTCTCCTCCCCTGGCCTCCCCCTTGTTAGTTTCCTGCATATCCTCCCGGGTTTGTGCTGATCCGAGCAAACACTTTCCATGCAGCTATTTTCGAAAAAGAATTTAGCAAGGATACGGTCTCTCATGTCTTAGTCGAGGGCACGAGAGCAGCAAAAGCACTCTGGCCCCTCCGCAGCTTGTGAGAGTGGACATGACTTCTCAGTTACCTCAGCAGGACACCCAGGTTCCTAGCGTTTGGCTTCTTTGGTTAAAAACCTGTTCTTTGAGCCTCTTCATTCTTCAAACTTCCAAAATCTTTGTTGTCTACCTAAGCAACGTTTTAGATAATGTAGTCATCTTTGCCTAACTGCAGAAACACGTGTACCCCACTTTTCAGAAAAGAACACAAAGCACCCCAGCAGTGTGGTGTGGGCCCCCATTTCAGAGGCTGTCATTCAGCCAAGGTGCAAGCATTGGCAGATGTGTTTGTTCTGCAGTCCATGTGCTGGCCTTGGTTGGCACGGAGAAGACTTACGACCTCCGTAGTCTTCTCTTTTGCTGGTCTTTATCTTGTACCTACAAATAGAGAAAAAATGGTCTGAGAAATACAATTGTGCTTAACTGAATGATGGGGTGGGGCAGGCGAAAACTACACTGGCAGACAATTTTGTCCTGTGCAGCCATCGTAGAGGGAGCTCACACAAACCTAGCTGAATCACGGGTGACACGGCCAGGCTCTATGCTCATGCATGTAGCATAGCCTGGTGTTCCTCTGGTCACACGGGACAAAAGGACTCCAGTTTAAACACAAAAAAATGATGTCGTCAGAGATGTAGTTGAACATGAGACCATACTGTTGTGTTTTTTTGAATTGATGCTGTTTTACAGTCAACTTTTTCTTGTACATAGGAGTGTACTTTAAAATCACAGTGAAAGGGAAAGCTGCTGGTACAAAAGTACAGCGGGCCACTCCGGCGTTTGTTTCTATCAGCAACACCACAAAGGTAAGGTCACCTGAAGGTGTGGCACATTGGGTGACGCACACGCTAAGGTGTTACTAGATGGGACACACATTGCTGGGCACCGTTATGATCTCATGGGACCACTGTCCTACAGGTATGTTGCCTCTTGTAGCCCAGAACATCTGCATGACTATGTCTTACTCTTTGGACATCAGGACTCTCAAACTGGCTAATGTTGTAGATTTGAGAGGCTGCAGGGATGTGACACGGGCAGCCAGCCGCAGCTGGGGGTTGTGTGGAAGATACCACAACCCAAAACAAGGAAATAATTGAAAAACTCACACTTGAAATACACTGAAACACAGTAACATTGTGATTTGTTGTCAATTTTTGGTGCAGTGCTCCATAACAAATGAATAAAAGATGAATTAAATTTTAAATGACATACAGAATAAACTATTACATGAGTGCATATTATAACAATTGTTTTACATTGTAAATGCTTTCCTAAAGCATTATATTATAGGTGAGTTTGTGAAAATCAAATAAAATTTGATTAAATATTTAAAGAAATCCCTAAGGTGATTCATCTATTTAATATTATATTTTAAGTACTTTTTATTAAAGAGGAAATACATTTCCTTTGAATATTGTAAGTTTTCTTTCTTCCTTTTTTCTTTTCTTCTTTTTCTTTGGGAAGCGAGATGAACCCAGGATCTCACGCATACTAAGCAAGGGCTCTACCCACTGAATGATATCCCCAGTGCTTTTATTTATTTCTTTAATTTTAGGGCCGGGGAGATGGTTCAGTGGAATAAACGCTTCTCTGGCAAGCACAAGGGCCTGAGTTCAATCCCCAGTTCCACCAAAAAAAAAAAAAAAAAAAAAAAAAAAAAAAAATTAAGGCAGGGTCTCATTAGGTTGCGAAGTTGCCCAAGCTGGCCTGGATCTTTGGATTCTCCTGCCTCAGCCTCCAGAGCAAGTGAGATTACAGGCGGGTGCCAGGACCCGCAGCAAAGTTTTAGCAGTACAAGTATGAAGCAGAAACAACCCTGTACCTCCCTGTACCCATCTCAGCTTATTACCATTGACCTTCCAAGACCACTAATGTGCCACAGAAATTTCTGAGTTTTCCTATAGAAACATTCCGTATGTTGTAACACACTGATATCTGCATTTCAGAAGCACAAGAGGGACCGCAGAGCTACCCATTCCCTGCCTGGCATCGGTCCGCGCAGCAGCTCTGTACCCTTGTTTCACCCTTCCCTGCAGCCCTGTGCTGCCCTGGAAGCAAGGTCAGCCATGGGCTACTCAGCCAGGCCTGTTCCATTTGAGAGCTTTTCAATAAAATGAATATTAAAACTTTGTAGAATAAAATACCTTCCAATAGTCCTCGTTTATAAACTGATTTTGCCACACACTGAGCGTTGCCCCTTGGCCTCCCAGGATCCAAGTTCCATTCCCTTGGCTCAGAGTTCCCTGGACTCCGGGTCCCACAGAGGCATCACCGTGGGGCACCCTGGCTTCACCGCACACTCCCTGTCAGGGGCAACGCCCTGCGCTGCCTGATCTCCCTGGGGTGGAAGCTGCAGACTCTCGCCAGCTCTGCTGCGGCTTCCAGCAGAAAGTCAAATCCAGTCCCCGCTACTCCATCTCAGCCAGAAGCAGAAGTGTCATATTTTTTAAACACCAAAGTGTTTCCTAAACTTGGATGTGTGGAATCATTTGAGAAACTCATTAAAAATAAAGATTCCTGGGCTCCCACCCAGAAATTCTGAAGCAGTTGGGTGGCCTGGGAATCTGTATTTTTAATGAGGGCTGTGAGCAAAATTGATACAGCCCTGTCATGGACTGACCTGCTATTTGGCTTAAGGGGTGATTATCTTTATTTGTCAGCTATCCTCAAGTGGTACCGCCATACGGACATCTTGTTTTCCAGATGAACAAAATAGAAATAAATGCTAAGAAAAATTCCTTGCCAGACTTGGATTGTTGAGCTTTTGGAAACACATCTCCAGCCCTGACAGGCATCTGAGGAGGCTGTGGCCCTGCTCTAGCAGTGCGTCCCCTCTCCGCCTGTGACACCGCAGCTGCCACGTGCAGGTTGGGATGGGGCTGGAAGGTGCACATTTACTTGTCTGTAAAGAGAGGGCATGGATCCCAGCAGCTTCAGCTTAGTTAAACTCGTTTTTTGGAAAATATTTTTGGCTCCTGCGGTTTCATGCTTTCGAGTTCCATTTTAAGCACTGGGTCCATCCAAACCCACCACGGCTGAGCGGCACCATCCAAGGAAGACGCTGAGCTTCACACAGATCTCTGCTGAGTCTGTAAAAATTTCGCAGATTTGTCCAAACTGCCTTGTTGAGAAATCAAAACAAAAATCACTAATCCCAGTGGGGGTTTGGAGGGTCCTGTGGTTTTTCTCCAAAACTATGACAAAAGCAATGGTCAGTCATGTGACTTAAAAGCTAAAGGTTTCATTTTGAAACCTGAAAGAAACCCACAAGCTTAGTCTTAAAATACACTCCCAAGAGACAAACGAGGAAAAAAAATATTTAAAAAATCATCTGAGTTTTGGCCTAGGAAACACAGAAAAGGAAACCGTCCAAACCAAATGTTGTCAGGGCTCACTACGTTTTAAAGCCAAAGCTGAGTTTTATTCCACTGGGGTGACACTGTTTATTAACACTGTCTGCAGCACTGGATTGCCTCAGAAAGTTCAGGAGAACTGGAGGCCTTCTCTTGTTTGTGCTACGATTGGAGGAAGACTGCTGTCCTATGAAATGAGTACCGACATAAATGGTGAGATTTTTGTTCTACTATATCTGTCCTTCTCTAGAAGATGTAGGCAACACAGTATGAAATAAATTATGTTTTCTCTCTTTTTTTTTTTTCCTTTGGCAGAACTGGGGATTGAACTCAGGCCCTTGCGCTTGCCAGGCAAGTGCTTATTCTACTGAGGCATCTCCTCGGCTGTTTTCTCTATTTTAAAATAAAATTTTACTTATTTAATGTCAGATCCATTGACAACAATAACTCTTTTTTTTTTTTAAATGTTTTTATTTATTTATTTGTGTGACCAGCTCAGCCCACCAGGGGGAGGGGTTGGCTGGCATGTGGTGCTGGGGGATTGAACCGTGGTCCCTGTGCTTTGCTAAGCCTGTTCTAAGTAGGTGCTTTAGACCACTGAGCCATCTCACCAGCCCCAATAACTTTTTTCCCCCCCAATAACTCTTATACTGTAGGATGCATAAGTATAATCTGAAGAACTTGTATCTGAATATTCTTTTTTTTTTTTTTTTTTTTTTTTTTTTTCAGAACCGGGGATTGAACTCAGACTCTTGTGCTTGCCAAGGAAGCACTTATTCTACTGAGCCATCTCCCCGGCCCCTGAATAGTCTTGTTTGTCATTATGTAACAAATTGAGCCAACCTGTAGGGGCTTCAAAGTAGCCCTTTTATTACATTTCTTGACTTTGTGGGTCAGGTATTCTGGCAGG